AACAATATGACTCCGAGTACTAGTATCCATTCCGAAGTTCAATAACTAAAGTCCAGTAAATCCCACTTCCAAGGTTTTCCAAGGCTGATACCTAGGTAGGCACGAAAGGAGAGGCGATGCCAAGATTGTCAAGTTATAGCCTTAAGCGACCGAATCTTGCACGAATAATTGACTCACTGACATAGATGCCTTCTGCTTCAATGTGATGTAGAACGATTTAAACACATGTACTTGTGACCAGAGCCGTAAATCATCATGATTTACGGAAAGATGATCTTTACATCATTGGTCGAGTTTACGAGCTCAAAATAACCGCAAGATGCAACAGGTCAGCAGTCACACTGGCCTGAGCCTGTGCTTGTCTGAGACAAAACGGAGCTACTACTAGGATTTGTAGTGGTGATCTACAAGATCTGACTGCGGTTCCTGACTACTCCATATGTAGGTAGACTAGTGGAAATCCCAAGGTTGGAGGCCTTACCCTGTGGCGTCGGCAGCTGCCGGGTCCCGAAATAGATCATTGGATGAAGTCGATTATTATGCGGGGATATGCTTTTAACTGCGCTGTTCCTCTGTTCTAAGAGGCTCCTTCCATCCGTGGAGGCGCTTGCAAAGGCGTCCCAGTTTACTGCTGTTCTCGGGTCGTGCATTTGTGTATGCACGCTCAGCCCCAGGGTTCTCTCAACTGACTGACTGCGGACTACAGAGTACGAATCGAGGGGGAATTTTGCGCCCAGATTGACGGGCAGGTTTCATCAGAATGTCTCATTGAGACTACAAATGGCTCTTGGCAAAAGGAATACAGGAAAAAATGATAAAATGAAAATAGTTTATAAAGGGACCTAGAGTCCGCCGATTCTCTCTCGATCAGACACAAGAGCATCTTATCTCAAGCCATTTCAATCACAAGACTCAAAGCAAAGATTCAATTCAATTCTTTCAGAATGAAGTACACCATCGCCTCCGTTCTCCTGGCTGCCAGTTCGGCCTTCGCTGCTCCAGCCTCGACCAAGCGCGAAGCCACCTCCCTCCAAATCACCGATTTCAACGCCAACGTCGGCCTCGACGCAACCATGCACTTTGTCTTGACCGATGCCAACTACCCAAATGACACTCCCACCGACTGTAATTTGATCTGGTAAGTCTCACTCAACGCGACAAGCAAAAGGGTAGAATTATATTCCATGGACACTGGATCTAATGACCAAATCAACAGGACCTATGGACACGCGCCCAAGGAGAGCGCTCGTTGCAACAATGGAAAATATCACATTCAATTCCCAGACGGCGCACCGGATTTGCACAAATTCACTCTCGGCCTCAAACGTGACGAGTCTGATCCCATTCAAGAGCAGGGCCAGGTCCTGGTGGACTCGAAGGCGGAGGCCAGCAACTGGGTGTGTGTGAATAACCCTAGTGATGGCATTAAGCTTCACTGTGACTACAGTGGTACCCTTGAAATGCCAATCACTTTGGGTTAAATGGGGAAGAGACTGATGATATAGAATTGTTTTCCTCTTTTATTGTTATTCTGGCTGGAAGGAGTTAGATAGATGCCGAGGTATACTGAGTTGGTGATTCAAATAGAATGACCATGTGACTTGCGTTTGGTTATTACGTATACTCCCTGTGATACAGAATTAATTTTCTCTCTATTGAGTTTATTCTCTAAAAATGATGATAGGATAAAATATTCACATGGCCAATGAGTATATGGTGATGTAGTGTCCCGATCATACATATGAAGTGTCCATAACGCCAGAAAATGGTCGAAGCCACCGGAATGTGAGTGCTGACGTGACCCGATCGCTGCCTGCCTTGGGCTGTGCATATCAACTCGACTTGGCCCCATCAAGTCACTTACTTCCATAACATCCCATACATCATTTTCCCAATGGACGTCGAGCTATATATTTACGACCTCTCCCAGGTAAGTTGCGGCGTTGCCCTTAATTTTCAATATTGTACATTCAAACTGACTTGCCTCGCAGGGTCTTGCGCGTATGGTACGTACCAACAGAGCATCAACAAAGATGGTACAGCATGAGCTTCACCTAACCGGACATATCAGTACTCGCAACCCTTGACAGGAACCCAAATAGATGCAATCTATCACACTGCACTTGTTCTCAATGGCGTGGAGTACTTTTTTGGTCAGGGCATCCAGACCGCCAATCCCGGTAGCACTCATCATGGCCAGCCCATGGAAAAGGTGCACATGGGACAGACAGAGCTTCCAAATGAGGTAATTGAAGAATACCTTGGATCTTTGGCCACAATTTATACACCCGAGGTATGTGAACCGGGAATTCGTCCATTTTCTGCGCTCTCCTAATACTCTGGCAGTCCTATGATCTCTTTCTTCACAATTGCAACAACTTCACCCAGGATTTTGCCATGTTCCTAGTTGGAAAAAGCATTCCAGAGCACATCCGCAACTTGCCGCGCACATTTTTAGATACCCCGTTTGGGCAGATGATGAAGCCACAGATTGAGAACGCCCTGCGGGGGTCCACACAGGGAACTGGTCCTGGTACCGTTCCTGGGCCCAGCTTTCAGCCACAGGCCGCACAGCAACCAAGGGCTACACAACATCCAGCGCCCGCCTCGGTCCGCAATGTCAACAGTCTATCTCAGCTAGAGAGTGAATTAGCTGCGGCATCAAACACGTGCGCCGTCATCTTCTTTACTTCCTCAACATGCCCGCCATGCAAGGTCGTCTATCCAACCTATGATCAGTTGGCGGAAGAGGCGGGCGATCGAGCTAGACTCATCAAGGTTGATATTGGCTCGGCCTACGATGTCAGCATGAAGTACGGTGTGCGCGCCACGCCGACCTTCATGACATTTCTGAAAGGGCAGAAACTGGATGAGTGGAGCGGTGCCAATCCAGGCCAGCTCTCGGGGAATGTCCGCATGCTTTTGGAGATGGCGAATCCAACCCATCCTCATCGCCAACTAAGATTGCCCAGCCTACAGCGACCTATCTCCAACTTTGTTACCTATAAGAAAGTTCCGCCGCTGGACAAGCTTGTGCAGAAGCTTCCTGCATCCTTCCGAGAGACACCGGACGTCGCCTCGATCATAGACTTTGTCAAGCAGCGCCAGTCTGCCAGCAATGACAATACCCCAGTCGCAGATATCAGAGTTCCAGACCTTCACACTTTCGCGACTTCATTGCAATCAGCCTACACCACACTCCCGAGCGACTCTCTTTTCGCAGTCGTCGACCTGGTCCGCCTAATCTTCCTCGATCCCCGCGTGAGCGGTTACTTCGCCGAGGAAACCCAGCACAAGACCCTCCTCACCCTTCTCTCCCCTCTATCCACCGGCGACCTCTCCAACTGCCCCTACAACCTGCGCATCGTTGCCCTCCAATTATCCTGCAACCTCTTCAGCACACCATTATACCCGGATCAACTAACATCACCAACATCTCCCCTCCGCGAAACAACCCTACGCCTGGCAATCAACTCCCTCCTAGACTCGCACTCCAACCTCCGCGTTGTAGCAGCCTCATTCGCCTACAACCTCGCAGCCTACAACCATAACGCCCGCTTCGATGGGAACCCCGATCCCCTCACGGAGGAAGATCAGGTTGAGATCACGGCCTCATTGCTCGAAGCCATCTCTCGCGAAGACCAGAGCATCGAGGCTCTTCACGGTCTTCTATTCGCGCTCGGTCTGTTCGTCTACGAAGCACCGCTCGACGGAGCCCTGGTGGATCTTTGTCGAGCAATGGGCGTCGCCGATACCGTGCGAGCCAAGTCTCAGATCTCGGCTGTTCAGAAGGAACCGCTTTTGAAAGAGATTGGGGGTGAATTGCTTGGCAAAGGGTTGTGATAGATGGAAATCTTAGCTCTTTGATTCTTCTCCGCGTCAAGTCTCTCTGTATCTCGCTTTTGACTCGGGCTAGCCCCGAACCAAGGGCTTGGATTGCGGTGGTGTTATCGTCTGTAATTACCTAGGTAGAAATGCTTTTTCTTCCATAATAGATATACATTCTTCGTCTCTTCTTTCTGCTTTTTCCATCGAGGCTTTGGCCTCCCGCAACGGTGTACCTGGTCAGCGCATGTAGAGAGATGTTATCTCCCAAGGATTTTCTTTGTTCTTTTCTTTTTGGAAAAAGAATCTTCTTCCAATTTTTGGTTCTATGGTCATCGAGTATCATGTATAGTCATGATAGAAAGTTCCCAAGGTTTGCAAAGCAATAGTCGTACATATTCTGATTAATTTTATTTAATTTCAAATGTGTCAAATAAAGGCATGGATTGAAGATACCGGTTCGTTCAAAATTGGCTTTCCATTGTACCGAAGCAAGGCTATCGCATCTAAGTTACAAGAGGCTCTGCGGAGGCAAGACACGTCCCGCCTGCCATTACTAGTCCATCGTGCAAGTCGACATACGATTGATAGAAGAACTAGTATATGATCTATACTAGACATAGCGAGTATCACTCACTCCGCATTCGATACTAGTATTACCTCACCAGTTAGTCAGAAATGCATTTCAGTCCTAGCTTCAAACTCAAGCCCGCATAAACAACGCGTCTTCTCCGGGTCTCTCTATTACTAGTAGAATCTCTTCACCGATCATCAGGCGAAATGAAATCATCGGGTATCTCGGCTTGGAGACCGACCAGGGTCAGGGATATTCGATATCGTATAATTCTGACTCACAGTGACAACTTTGTCTATGAATAGAAATCACCGACCAATCTTCCAAGTATCCAGTAGCTATTACTAGTACTAGTATCCGGTACCTCGTCCATCCCAGACTTAATACATGCATGTCAGAAATGGGAGTATAGTAGCATCTCGATCAACAGGCTACCCTCCCAGGCCAACCATCTATTACCATTCATCCATAAGGTACCCAGTCACAGTCAGATAGGATTAGAAATCAACGCGCCATTTCTAGGGTCATCCTCCTTCCCAAAGAAGTAAATGACAAAAAGAGTACCTAGGTAGGTATGATGTCCTTCAAGTTACCTCAGACTATGCCCCCACCCCGCAAAGCAAATCCACCCATCCACCCCAAACAAGCAACCGCACTAAAGGACAAACCAAACCTCGTCTCGCCGTCCCTCAAGTTCCTCCCCTCACTCGCACAAAGCCCAATCTCACCGTTGCATGCCATCTGCAGGGCCGCCCGCCGCCCGCCGCCCGTCACAACCGGCCTGAAGAAAGTCCGAACCACTGACATCGACACGGGGAGACCGAGCCAGCACACGACAGACGAACACGAGGCGAGGCGAGCAGGGCTGAACGGAGCCGCTGGCCTAGGCGCGACCGAGTCACGGCGACGGCTCCGGTCCGGCTGTATGTCCTGTCCATGTCCATGTCCAGGTCCGGCTCCATTTTTAGACTTGCGGTGCGACGGTGTGCGACGCTGGCATCGTGCATGGCGGTGACTAAATGATTTCTCTCAAGGTTGTATATACTCGAGTACTGTTAAGTACTACCTAGGTAATAAGACTTGGATCATCTACGTGGTTGAAACCGTGACTACAAAGTACGATACGTACATACTATACTTGTGACTAGATATAATTGAATCAATAATAGAATCAGATATGTAGATCAGGCAGATTGTTTGTTACTTGTATTTCTTCCAAAGTACCGATTGCGTGCCCGACCTGTTCGCGCCAACTCACACCGACACTCGCGAAGAGGACAATGTGGCTTTGGTGGCGTGGCGCTCAGGCGTCAAGGCGAGATAGCGCGGAGGGCGGGATCGGGTAAAATGGGATCCCATGGGGGGGTGGGGGGCAGTAGCCGTCAGGCGGATCTTGAAGAAAAGCGGAAGAAATAATATCCCAACGGGGAAGATGGAAAGGTTTTTTAAAAAAAAAAAAATTTGAATTGTATTTGGAAATTGAAACTGAAATTGAAATTGGTATTGTGCGGCGGATATCGGGACGAAAATGAATAGGAAATGGAAAAAAGGATACAAGATGGGGTATTCGGGATCGGGGGTATCTGGAGCGGAAAATCAAGCGCTAGAACGGGCAGAAGGAAAATGGAAAGAAAAAACACCGGGTCCGTTTCGGAAATGCTATCAGACCGTGGGAAATCATTTGAAATGGAAGTGGGGAAAATGGAGGGGCAAGAAAAGAAAAGAAAGAAAAAAAAATGGAAAAAAGGATGAAACAGGAAAAGGCGAACGGAAGCGCTGCAGATGCGACAACGGAGGAAAATGCAAAGTATGAGTCAATGTGAAGCGGCGGTGTGGTGTGGGGGTACATCGAAGATACTCCCGGGAGGAGAGGAGGAGATCGGAGGCATCGGGGAGATCAGATGGAGAGGTAGATGGCACCAGGCAGATAATTCTGGAAGCCGCCGACAGCGAAAAATTAGGTAAGCGCGGGGCATGTGGAGATAACCATTGACATTAACAGTCGCGAAGATTGCTACTGCCATGCCCTTTGCTGGCGTCATCGGCGCGCCGAAGAAAAAAGAAATATGTACCCCCCGGTGCGCCTTGGTGTGATCGGCGCTGCTGACGATCTCGCAGCTGCCTGAGCTTTATCATCTGATTCGCTTGGGGCGTGCGGGTATCACGGGTGATTGAGAAACATTAGGAGCTCCAACCAAATGCGTGGAAGGGCTGGTCGTGGTAGATATGAAGAAAAAGTATTGGTAGAAGACATGAGGCTATTGCGAATAGCGAAGCGAAGAAGAAAAGAAGTGTCGTCGTCGTAATGGTATCTTATCGAGTGTTTGTTTTGTTGAAGCGCCCGCGCTACAACCGACTTTCTTTGGTTGTAGTGTAGGTTCTCAGTTGCTGGTCATGACCTTGGCTGATGACGAGTGGGCGCGACGCTTGGATGTCAGGACGGGACGACGCTTCTTGCTGCTGCGCTTGGGAGTGATAGTGGCAGTAGTAGAGCTGGTGTTGGACTCAGACTCGCAGACTCGGGCCAACTTGGCTTGTCGCACGACTTGGGTGGCTCGAGCATGGGCCTCGACCTTGGCCATGAAGCGGGCGCGGTCTTCCTCCTCGGCCGCAGCGCGGACCAGCTTGAGCTGTTGTTCCATAGTCATGGAGGAGAAGATCTGGGGCTGTTGCTCGATCTCTTCGCAACATTCGGCGATACCCGCATTCTCGGGCATCCAGAGGAGATCCTCGTCGGTGAGGTACGCGTTGTTGACAAATGAGTCGCTGTGGTCGCCACTGTACAGCGAGGGGCGATTTGGCCAGGATGGGAAAGCACAGGCGGCTCCCATTCCATACTCACTGGAGAAGGACGACTTGCGAGGGTGGATATCGGTCAACGAGTCGGCGGGTGTTGGTGGAGGAGCAGACGGAGTGGAGATGGGCGAGCATTCAAATGAGCTACCGCTGTAGCTGAAGCCGAACTCAGCAGAGTCGTTACTAGCAACAGGTGCCAGGATCGCCGATTTAGTCGGCGATAGGCCGCTAAGACGCGACTGGATTGGAATCACCATTTTGGTGATGTGGAGATGGTGTGGAAGTATGGAGATGAAGATATCGTGAGATAGTAGTAGGCGAGGGGTGGTGAGAGTGGATGGTGGAGAGTCGAGAGTAATGTGGTGAGTGTATGAAGGTGAGTGAGGTCGAGGTGGGAGTGAGATAATGTAGTAAAAGAGAAGTGGGAGGAGAGTGGAGTGAATGGAGTGTTTATCAAGAAGACGGTGTAAAGGGCGGATGTCTAAAATCAAAGCCGGGGAAGGCTTCTAGACTTGCCGCGACACCCTTGCAGGCCCGAGACAAATCAATTAATTCGATTTTTGCGCCCAAAATGGAGACCAAATGGGGCCCTGGTTTTTTTTTTCTTTTTCTTTTTTTCTTTTTCGGGTTTTGATTTTCCCTTTTTTGAAATTTGTCCACTTTTGCGCCCACTTTTTTGCTAGGCGGATGCCCTTCCGGTGGGCGATCAATCAGCGTCTGCAGCTGCAGATCTGCTCGATCGGGAATTTCGAATTTCTTTTTCTTCTTTATTTTTCTGGTGTATCCCTTTTTGTCCGATGTATCACTTCCGGGGAAGTCGGATTGTATCCGTCTGACACAGAGTACTCGGGAGTAGACGAAGTATGGAGTCAGAGTAGAGAGAGAGAGTAGACAGAGCGCTCCGATCAAGTGGTGTTTTGGAGGGTTAACACATCAACGGAGTACTCCGTACTCTATAGTCTCCTGCGGGATTCCGGATGGCAAAGGATTCTGTGCCTATCGTACCCTATGGTACTCCTCACTCCGTACTTTCCTTGATGTTTGTTGGTTTGGCGGTCAACGGTCGAGAGCACACGTCAACACCGTTTCTTTGTTCGATAATGTGACAGTTGATCGTCGATAATCCTGGTCAATCGATAGTCGATAATCGATAGTTGATACGGAGTAAGTACGGGGAACCTTTAGGAAGGAATCTACGGAGTACCCAAGGGGCATCCGGTGATTATCAAGGGCGGTTCTCCTTTCGACGGAGTAGTTCTTCCGCCTCCACCGGTCCTTCACCTCGGGACGAGTCTAAGAGAAGTTATTCGAGGCTAGAAGGCTAGAAGGTCCCGAGGGAGCCCCCGTGGAGAAGTTCGCGCTCGCATGTGGATAGAAAGAGCCGGGGCTGGGCCCGACGGGCGGGTCCGGGGCGAATTCCTGCCTAAAGGGGTACTGTTGGAGGTTAACTGATTAACGGTTAAGGTCCTACGGAGTAAAGGTTCCCGCGGCCCACTGGCTCAACGTTCAGCCGAGGTGTTGTGAGTATCCTAGAGTGAGTATTCTACGAAGTCGGATACTCAGGTACTTCGTCCTACTACACTTAGCCTTTTTTTTAATTACTATCAACCATGTATACAGTAGCACTCTCTTCTTATGTATTATTTATTCCATTAGTTTGTTTTCTTCTCCTCCATCTATTATTCCAGTTTGTAAACCAAATCACATTCTCCCATTCCCGGTGACCCCAATTTCCCTCCAATCAGCGTTTCCCCATTTACCCGTCTCCAACTCCCATGTCCGCTGCCTCACACTGCCATCTCCCCTCAGAGGGTCCCTCGTCCCTCTTTGTCCCGAGTCCAGACCGAACATCGGCCATCCACATATCACACTAACACTGTCACTCAAAGAATCAATCAAATGAACTCCCATTTTTGGTCCAGTCCAACCACCTATGATCAGCCATGCATCCGATCCTAGATCATCCAGATCATCCAGTTCCAGTACTCCGTACTCTTGTCTTTCATACACACCAACTAACCCCTCCCTTTCCCGGAGTATGTATCCGTACAATCAATCCTCACAGATCGCGGAACCCAGCAATCCTCCCCCCCCGATGCACCCAAGTGGATAAATCCGCCTCCCCGGTGCCCCCTTCTTCAAGATGATCGTCGACAGGTCAATAAATCACCATCGTCGCGCAGGACGACCCGGCCACCAGGAACCTCCATCTCCAGATTCCGTACTTCCGCGCTGGCCCCCGGGGAAATAAGGAAATAAAGGGGGGGCGGCCGGCCCGTCGAACTTGACATCAGATACATCAACTACCTACAACTGCAACCTCCTCTCTTCCGCCACAGAGGTCATCGGAATTTGACAGGTTCACGCGTACCTTTGTCTTAGGAAAGACGATCACTCGAGCTGTTCCACTGCCCGTGTCTTGCCAGAGTCTGGTTCTTGGGTCGGGCCGCGGCCCATAATTATCATCCATACTGTAATGTTGATCGACGAGCATCAGCATCGTGGCCCTTTGCCCCTTTCCCAGGCCCTCGGTGTTTCATCCGCCTGCCGCCCGTTCCTGCTACCAATACCTCGGGTAGAGCCTATGTCTCTCTTCCCTCTCCTACGGAGTAATATGAATGTTGCGGCCTCATTGTGGACACGAATGGGGCGGCGCCGGCGGTTTCTCCTTAACGAAACTCTCAAAAAGGCAGGTCAATCAAACTCCGTAGCAATCGAGGACGTATGTGTCCGTTCCCGATGGATTCAAGCCCGCCTCCTCCGCCATCCCTCCCCTGATTACGGAAACCCTCCTAGCCTGTCGTTACCAGGCGTGTACAAAGTGCAAAAGTCCCGGTTCAAAGAAAAGAGCGAAAGCGACAAGTAGACAGGTCTATCCGCCACGACGGTTATTTCTTTGTTTAATGGATCGAGGGCTAGCCCGGCGGAACTGCGGTTGCGCGCTTTCCGACCATTATTGGTTGCCGTGAGCTCCTAGCGAGCCAAATTGAACTGGCAAATCGGATGTTGGGACTCGCTCACATTTTTTGATCTCCGCTCTCCTGTCAATGATCCCCCCCAGTTGGACTATCAATTGGTCCTACATTCAAACATACCCACCTCCACCTCCACCGATTCCGGCCTTCCCTGCAGCTGCAGCTGTAGCTGCAGTACATATGCAAGATCTCCAAACCAAATCGTGAAAAGCAAGGTGGCGCTCGGTCCTTTTTTTTGTGCTTAATGGCTGAAAGCCCAGTCGATTCGATTCCAAATAGGAATCGTTAGATGGAACGGGGGATAGAGAAAGATGTCGGAGTTCGAAATCCAACAGGTCCAAACACCTTTTGTCCTGGACATCGCCTAGTGAAATTGCTCTTAACAGTCCAGGGGGGGAGCGGTTTAGAATTCGGAGCAAAACAAGTGTCAAAGGCCACCGCCACCCGATAATTTGTAGCCACCGCCGTAGCCACCTGCGAGTATCCCGATCCAGGGCGCCTCTGTCGTCCCGATCCGCGAGACAAACATTCCAGGCAAGCACGAAGTACGGAGGCCGTGTACAATGACGATAACCTTGATCTTCACCATTCACCATTCTCCATTCTCCATACGGGGACGGGAAGCATAACCCCCCCGAACCATGGAACCCAAATCCAAACCCCATGGGGCCGGGTAAATTGCATTTGGATTGGCTTTCCTTGGATCTGACCTCATCTGCGAGGGATGAGCTTGAACATTCCAGCTGGACAAGGAGCTGGCGGTACTCCGTACTGAGCACGGAGTACCTCTGCAGACGCTCTGTCCTTTGGTCACTGCAGTGTGAGTAACCCAATGGCCCGGAAGCGCGTCCGCTGCACGGTCGGGGCTTGCAGCGATCGTCCTCTACGGTGATGGGCGCGACTCTTCACCGCGAATCCGAGACGTGTCGCGGGGGAGCTCAGTTTGGTGCCACCGAGTAACTGGCTGCTGTTGTGGAAAGTGAAAAAAAAGCCCCTGACTCATAGCTGGCATTTGCGTTGCGATGCGATGTGTAGAGACCGTGATGCGATGACCATTCGATGGCACTGTTGCACTTCTGATCTGACCTCAGATAAAACTTAACACTGACTGGACTTGGTCCACGACTCGATTCGATTTGATTTGATTCATCTGCTCGTGACAGCCATCAAAGTATGAAACCTGGGGGCGGAGCTGCCTTCTTTGATGTGATTTGATTTGATTCTATTGGATTCAACCAATCTATCGATTTGACTTGCTTTGATCTTCCCCCAGTCTCACTCAACTGGGTAAGATTAATATCCTTTCGCCACTCGACGTCTCCCCCCGAAGCAAAGACAGTCCGACCGGGCCAGACTCATCTAGCCCGCCTCACCTCCGCGCCTCACCTCGTCTCGCCTCAAGGCTCTCTCGTACTAGTTGTCTCCCCGAAATAGAAATATTGCCCTCCTGACCATTATTCCATCCGCACTCCAGCCTGCGATGGAAACATCCCGCGCCCGTTGAAAATGCTTCTACCAGACGCAATAGGCATCCTCCCGACTGTGACAAGCCGGGGTCTGACCTAACCCGAACCTGGAGTTCGAAATTCGCACGGTGGCGGACGGTGCGTCTTCGCGGGCGCTTCTTCGCTTTTCCGCCTGGATGCCATCCACCTCGTTCCTCTTGCTTTGATTGGCGCTGAGGGTTGAAAACGGCCCGAGTGCGCTGCGCTGCGCTGCCTGTGTACTGTGAGTTTGCGGATAGGCCGCGGATGTACTTTCGTATCGGGCAGATACTTCTTGCGTCCGTCTGGTAGATATCCGGCGGGTAGAGGAGAGTAGATCCCAGCGGGTGTCGGTTTCCTACATACTTCATGTATAAAATGTTTGAAAATTGCAATTAGGACCGTGACTACTGGACTAAATTCTCTGGTGAGGGGCTGCCTTGTCTTGCCTTGTCCTGCCTTATCCTGCCCCTCATGCCTAGTCCGAGGTGTCAGGCACTTAGGGGTACAGGTTCAGTGTGTATAGTACTTTGTTCCGACCATGCATGAAATTAAGGATTGTGGAGGGTGGACACAGGAAGTTGACATGGGTTGAGTGGCATGTCAACTGGCGGTGAATCTTCTCTTTTTCGGAGGCGTTCTTCCAGGGTTCGTGGCAACTGCTTTGTGCAAACATTATAGAAGAGTCAGGCGTGTGTGCTACAAGGTTTGTGTTGTGTTGTGTTGTGCTGTCCTGGTTTGCCCTATTTGATACCTAAAATGAACAAACTCGTCGTGCAAGGCAAATCGCCCAACCCAACATTATCATGTTATCTGGCCCGCCCTTTCACTCTGGCTTGTGTAGGATTTAAATTTGATTGTAACAGTCTTATCTAAGTCTATCTCGCTAGTAGTATCTTTAGTACAGTCTAGTGTTCCATGTTCTACTACTAGTAGTACCTCCGTGCGCTCAATCAGAGCACGCTGATAAGGAAATATACCCCGAGTCCCATTCGAAGTCGTCTTTCAGTCGCGAGGCTTGACCTTGGAAAATCCGACTACTAGTAGATACTAGCAGTAGTTTACTAGTACTACTCCAGGGCTAGACAACCCCCAGTCCTCCTAATATTCCCTTTACTTGAATCTCCAAACTAAATCTTGGAATACACTCCCACATGATCTCTATGATGAACGTGCCCAACTACTAGTAGACCGGCACTTCAATCCTAGCCCGACAATGCTACACTTGCTGATAGGACGATGGCGCGGGGTTCAGCCTGCCATCTCGAGCTAAGCTCCCGTTAGCGGCCAACAACTCCACTTTCCAAGCATCACAGCTCCCTACAAGCCTTATCTCAATGCTTCCCCGCGTTCCCATGATTGCACTAGTCTCTCTCCGAGTCCAACCTTGAGCCATGGCGAAAGACGGGATAAACTTGGACGGCACGCCGGCGCAATTGCGCGGCCTTTTGAACCGGCGCATTCCTCGCAGACCTCTTGCTCGTGTGCTCTTCAATCTCTCCACTGCACCATGGCCGATACTATGGAATCCAAAGAACTTGAAGTTGAAACAGTCACCCCTACCATGAAAATGGAAGAGGAGGGGGGGAGAGGAGACCCCCGACTTAAAAGAGCCAGGGGAGGCTATTGAGAATGTCGAGTACAGCTACGAGTCACATCGGTCTCCGTTTCCCGAGGGTGAGTTCTCATCCCCTGCCTTGTGGACGTTAATCTTGAATACTCACAATAGAAATAGTCAGATCTGTTGTTCCTGAGACAGATGATCCCAGCATGCCGGTTAACACCGTGCGCATGTGGGTTCTGGGAGTGATGTTCACGATTCTTGGCTCCGGCATCAACCAGTTCTTCTCACTCCGATATCCATCGGTGCATATTGTTGCCCTGGTCGCGGAACTACTTGCTTACCCAATGGGTGTCTTCCTGGCAAAGACACTGCCTCTGGTTTCCATCTCGTTGGGACCCCTAGGCACATTGACGCTCAACCCAGACCGGAAATTCAACATCAAGGAACATGCACTGATTGTGATAATGAGCAATGTTTCCTTTGGGTATGCAACTGCCGACTCGACAAACATCATTCAAGCCGCAAGCGCAAACTTCTACAACTTCAAGCTGAAGACTGGTTTCTACGTCTTGATAGTCCTCTGTGCACAGCTCCTCGGCTTCGGAGTCGCTGGCCTCGCGGCTCCGTGGCTGGTTGAGCCAGCTCGTATCATTTGGCCCGGCGTCCTGTCCAATTGCGCTATGCTGGAAACTTTACATTCGCGCAGCAACACAGTGGCGCATGGATGGCGCATCTCTCGTCTACGCTTCTTCCTCTTTGTAACGGGGGTGGGTTCCTCTGGTACTTCTTCCCGGGTCTGATATTCACAGCATTGTCCTATTTTACATGGGTCTGCTGGATCGCCCCCAAGAACGTCGTTGTGAATCAGCTATTTGGCATGCAGACTGGACTAGGACTCAGCCCGATCACATTCGACTGGAGCCAAATTGCGTACAACACGAACCCCCCTCCTATCTCCGTCATGGGCTGCAATCAACGTGTTTGCTGGATTTGCCTTCTTTTTCTGGATCATCGTTCCGATCCTTTACTACACCAATGTTTGGTTCACAGCGTACCTGCCCCTTATGACCAGCGACGTCTATGATCGCACCGGTGCCTTATATGATACTGCCCGAGTCATCGCCGCAGACCATAGTCTCGACGAAACCGCGTACCGCAACTACTCACCACCATACCTCGGCGCAACATTCGCCTTTGTGTATGGCCCGTCATTTGCCGCCATCACATCTGTCCTCTCACACATTGGTCTCTGGCATGCTCGCGACGTCTGGGCAGCCTTCAAAGGCCGCAACAAGCTAGACATTCACGCCAGACTTATTCGCGCATCCTACAAACAAACACCATGGTACTGGTACGGCGCAATTATCCTCATCATCACAGGCATGTCAATCGCGATGGTCGAAGTCTACGACACTAGACTCCCCGTCTACGGCGTCTTCCTGGGCCTGATAATTCCCGCTTTGTATATGATACCGTGCGGGATCGTCCAGGGCATCACGAACGTCGACGCAAACCAACTAAACGTTCTATCCGAGTTCATAGGCGGATATCTATTCGAAGGGCGCCCGCTCGCAAACATGATTTTCAAGATCCTTTCCACAGACGTCGTGGGACAGGGCGTCTATTTCGCCATGGACATGAAATTGGCGCATTACCTCAAGGTTCCGCCTCGCACGACGTTCGTGGCACAGGGCGTCGCGACGATTCTTGGCGCGCTTACTCAGTGCGGTGTCACGCTCTGGATGCTGGGCCATATCGATGGGATCTGCGAGTCCGACCAGTCGGATAATTTCACCTGTCCCGATGGACGGACGGTGTATTCGTCCTCGGTGATTTGGGGCCTTGTAGGTCCGCGTCGGCTCTACTCCGCCGGCAAGATTTACTCGGGACTTCTTCATTTCTTCTGGATCGGTGCTCTGGCTCCTGTTGTTACTTGGCTTATGTACCGCTATACCAAGCAGCGGTTCTGGAAGATGATCAATTGGCCTCTGATCTTTGTGGGGACTTACAATGTTCCGCCTGGTATGTGTTTACTTACCCGACACTTTTGGATTCTCCGTTCCCAAGAAGCACAAATTGTCACTGTCACTAACCCTTCTCTTCTGCTAGCTACTGGCATCAACTACTCCAGCTGGGCACTTGTCAATTTCATCTTCAATCATTTCCTGCGCCGGAAATTCTTTGCCTGGTGGACGAAGTATAACTATATCTTGGCTGCTGCCTTAGACACCGGTCTCGCTCTTAGTGGTATCGTTATATTTTTCTGCATTTCTTATCCTGGCGCCGTCTTCCCGGATTGGTGGGGGAATACGGTCTACCTGAATACTGCGGATGGACAAGGTGTGCCTTATAAGCCTATGCCAGATGTCGGGTACTTCGGGCCTGCCAATGGGACATGGACTTGATTGACGGCTCAAGGTTTGCCTGTTTCGCTCCTCTGGATTTAACGGGATTATTTATCTTTCCTGTTAAACTAGGTACCTAGATATTCAAAATTGAACTTGAAGGGCCCCTGGAACTGGCAATTTACGAAGAAGTTTCAAACTGGACATGTAAATTATAGAGTACAATAGCTGCCAGTGCTTCCTTATTAACCGTTTATATACCGGAGGGGTCTCTTTTTCTGAAATATAATGAATACTGAAAATCATTTTTTTTGGAAGATTCCAGCACCGTATCACTGGAAAGGCTTGGAATCAAGAAAAACAAAATAATAAATACCTAAGCCCAGTTGAAAGAGCCTAATAAGCCTGGTTCCATGCCTCCCGAAGTCGGTTGGTTGTTCATGCCTCAGGCAACCAAAACTCCCAAACGCGTCCAAAAAAGATCTCCCACTTTACCATGGTTTGAACGGAGGCTCAAAAACTTCAACCATGCACCCTACCTCAACGAAGCATCTGTAAGGAAAAAAAAACTGGTAGCTTCTCTTTGATTGAGCGTGTCATCCTTAGTGCAGGGGCCATGCTAATCTTCTCTGTATATTTTCATTTGACCAAATGTCCCGAAGGACATGAGGAAATCCTGATAAGTGTCATATATACCACCAAAGTCACGTGGTAGCATCACCACTATTGGCCGCCCCAGCATCGTCATCGCATTCACCTCTCTGCTTCTAGATCTCACCTTCTCGACCGGCCGCCACCGCTCCGAGTCTCGCCGCCAGAGAAATGGTATGCCTCGCATTTTCCAATTATTCACTTCCTCGCGCTGCATATTCTAACCTTGGTCCTCCACAAACAGCCTCCCAAGAGGCGCGGAGCTCCCGCCAGCTCCTCCGCAGCTCCCAAGCGCGCGCGCCAATCCAAACTAGCCAAAGAGAACAACATCTCAGCCGAGGAGGAGAACGAAATCAAAGAAGTCTTCCAGCTCTTCGCAGATAGCCACGAAGATTTCCCCAAGGAGAAAGAAGGCGTCATTCCCCGCGAAGATGTGCGCAAGGCATTAGTGTACGTCCAGTCCAATCCAGTCAAGTCCAGATCCTCCCCTCCCTCCGATAATATCCCGCAAGCTTCTGCGCAAGCCCACCTTGGTCACACATTCAATTCACCGAGATAAAACTAACATCACTCCCCTCTACGCAGAGCCCTCGGTCTGCCCCCCCACAGACTCAACCGAACTCTCCACCATCCTCTCCGCCCTCGACCCAACCTCAACCGGCCACATCCCCTACACACCCTTCGTCTCCGTAGCCGCGGCAAAACTGCGCTCCCGCGATGACGACGCCCTGGTCGCCGAGGTCGACGACGCATACCAGCTCTTCACGCGTGGGTCCAGCGGGCCGATCTCGCTGGCCCAGTTGCGCCGCATTGCCCGCGAGCTGAAGGAGGACTCTGTCGACGATGAGTTGCTTAAGGATATGATTCTTGAAGCGAATGGTGGGGCGGGACTTAGTGCTGGTGTTACTTTGGAACAGTTCCATGATGTTATGGCTCGTGCGGGCGTCTTTTAGGCCTGTGTCCCGACGGGGTCTTGGGTTCTGGTCGGACTAGCTGTGGGGGTATGCGCCGTGAGCGCTTTTGTACAATTTCTTTCTCTTTCCACGCTGTTTGTCTGCGGTTGGATATATGGGCTTGTGTGTTTGGGTGGTGTTTTGGAGTTGGCGTTTGTTGCATAGCGTTGAGAATGCTTTCTAATGTTTGACTTTTACGATGCTTGGCAAGACAATGAGTACCGAGGTATTGTCTGCTCTGGGTTTATTCTGCTACCAGGACTGTGGATCAGATTACCATGATGATAATTGGTAGAAAATGGTTTGTTCATCATCCATTGATGACTGTGATATTGTAGATACATCCCGTCCTCCGACCGCAATAGCAATTTAAAAGAAAATTAAGTCCGATACCGAAAAGAAAGAATAAGCCTGAAGAACACACCCATGAAGAAGCAAAGAAAAAAAGAGGACAGCAGAAGATATGACCCGCGCATCAACTATCAATTCCTCCGAGATAAACCAAGCACGGCTTATACCACCATCCACGTGCATTAGCAAGAGCAAGAGCAAGTGCTGACGACACTATGAATAGGCGATGTTTAGGAGATCTCAGCCATGCCGAGGTCCTCACCAACGTTGGCCTGGGGAGCAGCGTTGACAGGAGCAGCGGCCTGGGTAGGGACATTCTCGTTGCCACCGGCGAAGTAGTCCACCATCTCAGCGTCGAGCTCCTCGACGGACTTGGGCTTACCACGGCCAGGGTTACGACCCTTGCGACCCTTGGCGCCGCGAGCTTGACCCTTGGCTCCTTCGTTGGTGCTTGCGTTGGTGTTGGTGTTGGCGTTGGCGTTGTTCTTCTTGTTAGCTCCACGACCTGCCTTGGCAGCGGTGGCAGGCTTGGGCTGGGACTTCTGGTGACTATAAGACAGTTAGCATGAGGCCGGATTATCAAGAGAATACTCAAGCTTACGCGATGCGCTCGGTGAGCGGCTTGGGGGCGGGAACATTCGGGGCGTGGGAGGCATCATAAACAACCTCAATCTAAAGTATCGTCAATAACCTCTTCCAAAATAGTAGAACACATGATTCTGAGATAATTCTGACCTTCATGGGACGGCCATCGACATGGAGACCGTTAAGCTCCTTGGCGGCCTTGGCGGCAGTGTCGGCGCGGCCGAAGATGATGGAGGCAATGCCACGGCTGGTTCCGTTTTGGTTGTAGGTAAGGATCACCTTCTTGACGGGGCCTGCAGACTTGGTGAAGTATTCCTATAGCGCAGACGATCAGTATGCTGCGTCTGATAGTTTCAGTTGAATCAACGGCAGTCGAATCTCGAATGAAAAACCACAGCGACAGCGCAAACGAAAAGAACTGCAAGTCCGACGAATCAAAGAGCATCAGCGAGCACATAGGGGCGATCGGTCGAATGTTGTATTCCTAGAATCGCCAAACCACACTCCGCCTTCGCGAAGAAAAATCCTCAACATTCCAGTTGCACAGACACGATGTCAATCCCCCACCGGTATCAAATGGCGCCCTATCCCTCATCATTTGACCAATCAAGCGCGATAAGTCTTCGAACGACACATGGTGGCCGCACAGTGCTACCAAGAATGCACGCCTTGGTCGCTGCAATGGATAACAGAGTGTTCCGCCCTGCGTTCTCATGATCGCCCTCGGTTGATAAACATACTCATATGATGAAATGCTGTACAAGCTATCCCTCAAGATCCACGTCGATGGGATTCACCCCACCGGATAGTAGAACTGAAAAGGAAGCCGAAAGGATCTTCCGCGGTTTAGGGCGCCCGAATTTGTTCACAAAAGAATGCCCGCTGTGTCACTGATGCGCTCGCTGATGCCCTCTCCAAAGCTCAAAACACGAGATAGGAATAGTATGAGCGGGATTTCGAAAACAGGGGCAGGATGAAGATGATCATCTTCAATCCTCGGCACAGTACTCGGATGGTGATAAAGCGGGCGGATCACCTCTGGGTAGGGATCGACACGAGCAGTATACATCTGGCCACCGAAGTGACAACGCTTCAACTTCCTGTATCGCAAGATGCCAACCAGGAAAGAGAGAAAATGTTTGCAGATACTTGTGGAAGGAGCGTCTGTCTGTGCCGGGAGCGCGCTGGGCGACTGCCAACAGGCGGGGGAGGTATAGAGGAACAGGACAAGCCGGACATGCGAGTTGAAGTCGTTTACACCTCGAAGAGTTCGAAAGCAAGATGGCGATCAAAGCCAAGGCGAAGGCCTCTAGATCAACATACCTTGATATTGGCCTCAGTCACATCGGACGGCTTGAAGAAGTTAGCAAATGCTGTGCAATGAACTGGAGAAGGGTGAGTAAATGCTTACCAGTCCGCTCACGATGATCTTGCTGGATGCAGCTGGAACCGGGGTAGGGTGAACCGCCTTCGCAGGGGCCTTGGGGGCCCTGGAGGACTTCTTGACACCTCCGACCGTGGTAGGCTTGGCAGTAGCGCGACGGTTTCCACCGCGACGGCGAGCAGTCTGGCGACGGTTACCGACGAGATCGTCGAGCGACTTGTCCAGGTTGGCAGACATCTTGTGGGAGAGAGAGATGGAAAGCGGATGATTTGGAAGAAGAGCAGAAGTCGCGATATGATATTAACGCGTTGTCGGGATCGGATGCGCCGCTTGAAAAAAAAACAGCACTTGGAGAGAGTGAAAGAGTTGGGGTGGAATGTAAGTGAAACTTGGTTGGTAACTTTTCCTTTGGGTGATAAGGGAAAAGTAGGGAGATGAGAGTGAGAGGGAGAGTCCGAAAGAGGTGAAATGGAAGAGGAGGGAAAGGGAGAGACCAGGCGGCCACAGCCACATTGGGGGCGATTGCGACCATCAGTCGGGCTAAGCCTCTTTTGGCGTCGGGCACCGGGCTTGTTTACTCTGTTTGCATCGAGGCTGAGCGTAGGTAAGCGCATCCATCTTACTAGTATTGCATCTCAACTGTTGAGTTTTAAGAATTGAAAGAACATGCGGATAGTTGCTTCTCAATCCTTCTCCAGTAACTATTTAACCACTAGAACACCCTCCGTGTCCACCAAATCTGGGTATAGGGAAAGCACATAAGTCAACTGTGCACTTGCAGCTTCCATAGTTTCTTTCGTACGTGTACAGTTTGTCTTGACGAATTCCTCATGTATTTCTTTGCAATGAAAGGATGATTGGAAGAAGAGTCTTTTCCCATAGTCGCAAATCAATGTGGATACCGCGAGAGGCATTTGTCGTGAGTTCTCTTTCTGTCTAATCGCAGCTTCAAGGAAAAGACGGTCATCAATGACCACTTCCCTTTCTCCCACTCCTTCATTTTTCCATCCAGGAATATCCGCTATAAACCAAGGATGATGAATCACTGCAGGTAGAGGTGCTACATGTATCCAATCCCAATCAATTACCCTACAGTCAAGTCAACTTTTTGAAAGTGATACCTATAAAATGAATTCGAAAAGCGATTCTTACATACCCTGTCAAGTGGAAACCATCATCCTTCATAATATCGTAGGAGTTCAAATCACCATGGGCAAGACCGAAACCGATATACTTGTCAAATGTGGAAGCATACCTACTAGTTATTCAGGGATTAAGAATCGCATGATCAAATAACCCACGGCGTTGCCCCATCTTGCCTTTCCACGAATTGTGCGTAATATTCCCCGATCCAGGCTTTGTGTTAGCCAACTGGAGTATCAGACATCCCATACAGGTACAGTACTACTTAAAGGAGGCAGAGTAGTCCATAGCTGTAGAAGGAATTCTGCTAGGTCGTCGAGAAGGACGTTTCTTCTTTGTAAAGGGATCTGGTGGTTCCAAATTGCTATTGGTTCGCCAACAACCCACTCTGAATAATAGACAGGATACTCTACTTTGAAATAGCAATTTAGCGCTTTGATCTTAGGGTGTAGCTTTTTGATGTGAAGGAAATTCTTAATGGCACGAAGATCATGGTTCCAATCACCTGGCCGATGGCAGACTCGCGCAGCCCATAGTACGGAATCTTCAAAGACAAGCTTGAATACCCTATGCGAGCCGCCCTGGAACGAGCATTCTGCAACAAGATAGAATGGAATCCCCTTGCGGAGATCACGCGCTTCAGAAATAATGTCAGACATGCAGGCCATTTTTGAATGGTTTCAGAATACGAACTGTGAAAAAGCGGGACAGCGTTGACAGGGTCACGGACGACCTTCGAGCTGTTGCTCCTTGGAAAAACCCGACGTATGTAAGCAAATGACAAGTAATCTGCAAGATTTGGAATCTGATGCACACCATTACGATTTGTATATTAGTGGTCAACGGAAAGCTCGCCAGAGGTGCGCTGTATTCATCTTAAATACCGTGGGTAGCGTGTTTCAAACTACCCGGCGGGTGACATAGGAGTATCTGTATACACTCAGAGGGCAGTTAGTATGTTTAGGTGTCTTAATACCATTGATAGTACTAGTGAAGCACTTTCCATACTAGCAGCTAGATATAAAATTCCTACTAAAGTGAACTTTTGGATAGAAGGGAGCTTTAAGAAAATACCTAGCCGTTTAACAGCTAGGAGTTATACAACCGATAACACAGACAATGCAGGCAAGGCTGATTTGAATCACTTATTTGACCCCACTCGCAGTGTGGTTAAGAAATTAGGATACGAGTAGAGGTACTGGGCCACTGGGTGGATGGTAGAATTACTTTGTTTCATTCTATGAGGTCCAGCTCGCGAAGAAATCACTAATGAACTCCCGCCAAACTCCTGCCAATGGGGAAACGCAAAATTAAAACAAATACTCTGTGGAAGCAGGGTGATAAATGATACGGTATATCCAATGCCTCAATAACTGTAGAGGGGGGTATATCAGCTCTTGAGAGCCTCCAGGCGGCCTCGCATCTCGTCGAGCGTCTTCTCTTGATCTTCGAATTCGGGCTCCTCCGCGACAGGAGACTCCTCCGCAAGTGGTTCGGTGGGCCTGGCGGGTGCTTGGGAGAGTTTGCCCTGCAAAACCTCTTGCAAGATCTTGTCCACCTCCTCTTCTGCTTCCTCGTACTCATCCTCGAATAGCTCATTGTTGGGGATTGCGTCATCAATGACTTCTTCGATAATACCGGCTCGAACTAGCTCTGTCGATAGTTGATGCATCGTGGATGACAACTCCGGTAAGCGCACCAGAGTGTTTACATCCTTCATGATTCCCGTAGACTTCTGGAGGCTGCCCTGGATTTTGCGCACAGAAAAAGCCTCGTTCACCTGCATCCCGACACTCTGTAACTGGGCCCGGCTTGTATTCAAACGAGTGGTTTGTTTCCGAATCCTCATGAGCTCCCGCGCAAAGGTTTTAGTTTCGCTTGTTGCCTGTTTAGCCTGCGACGGGTTTCGTTGCGCTCGTTTGGATGAATTGATGATGTGTTGACGAGTTTTGGTATCGAGACTTTTGAGATGAGCAAGATCACGGTCTAGTTGTCTGGTATTTGCGCGAATAAGGGTATTGCACTTTCTCATCTGGCCGGGCGAGTCGTCGTCAGCAGCTTTCTCTTGAAGCAAGTTCGCCACAGATTAGTCTTACCTGGACCGCAGGGTCGGGTCCAAAGAAAACAGCTTTCAAGGACTCCATGGTCGTAGAAGTTGTAGCTTTATGAGCTGCGATAAAAAAAAACAAGGTGAAGGTTAATCGGCTTCTCCGAAAGGCCGATCGATAGCGATCAATTTGCGAGCACTGGGGTCGTGGTATTCAACGTGGGGTGAGGAGAAATGGGATGCGCCCAGACGATTTTCCTCCTCCTGAGACGTGTGAGGGTGGTGACAGAGTCACAGATACAGTTCTAAATGTGAGCTTCAAGCAAAGCCAGGCGGACCACCAGACTGCTCGACCCTTCTGTGTTGCGTCTTATCAGTTCGATGCCTGCGGCCACCCGGTGGAGGAGGCGGGGAGCCATAAATTGCTGAGTCAGATATTAGTGCCTCAGGCATATTAAGCAAAAACAAGGCAAACAAGGCAAACAGCTGTGCCAGTATTCCAGTACCTTCTAGCAGTGTGAATGCGGGCGCCATGCGTCTTTGAGTGAGCTGCTTCCCTTTCCCAACCACACCACCTCCATCTCTTCTCCAAGTTCTTTCTTCATCTTCATCTCCATACTACTATAATCTTTCCCCTCTCCCACTCCACACCAAAATGTCCGGAACCGTCCACCCCGAAGGTACGTTTTTTGTGATAGCTCGACTTCCCCGCTCCAAACAACTCGACCCTGCACATTTTGCGCAATCAGCTCGTGATGACGTTATCTGATTGCATGGGCCATGTTGAAACCTGAAGCATGAGGCTGTTTTCAATGCTATCTCCCATGAATTGAAAGACGGGAGAAAAGCTAACTTGGTGACCTGCAGTTACCTGGGCTCAGCGCTCCTCCGACTCGGATCCCGAGCGCAACTACCTCTACGTGGACCTGAAGACCGCCGATGTCCCCAAGGACCAAGCCAAGCTGAGCATCACCGCCAACAATGTCTCTTTCACTGGTCCCTCCCGCAAGGGCGTCACCTACTCTGTCTCTCTGGACCTGTACGGCGAGATCGACGTTGAGAACAGCAAGTCCAACCACACCGACCGTGGAGTCGAGCTCGTTCTGCGCAAGAAGGATCTGAAGCTGGAGTACTGGCCCCGTCTGCTCAAGGAGAACAAGAAGGTTCACTTCCTGAAGACCGACTTCGACAAGGTATGTACTGCATCATGAGAAGCGGGGTAAATTTGGCGAAGGGCGATTGGCTAACGGAATTCTCAGTGGGTTGATGAGGACGAGCAAGATGAGGCTGCCGAGGACGACTATGCCAACAACTTCGGCGGCATGGGTGGTGGCGGCGAGGAGGGTGGCCTGAGCAACATCGACTTCTCCAAGCTCGGTGGCATGGGCGGTGCCGGTGGCATGCCCGACCTGAGCGCTCTGGCCGGTGGTATGCCCGGTGGCATGGGCGGAGCTGGAGATGAGGGCGAGGATGACGATGTAAGTGACCCGATTTGATTCCGATTCTGCAGATGTGAAACATGTGCATAGCGGTACGGACAGCTTTCTAACGTTATGAATAGGAGGACCTTCCCGAGCTGGAGGAGGCCGACCAAAAGTCGGCCAAGATCCAGGAGGTGTCTTAAATAACCTGACATTTAACCCCATCCCTTTCTACAGAAGCTATGACGACCAGAAATGAAAAATACGGGTGCTTTTGAGGCGCCACTGGGAAGGTGTGCCGGAGATTTTGGTTTTGCTTTAAATCCCCTCGACTGTTTGTAGAGCACAACGACCAGGCTTAAGTTTGCTACTGGCAAGTGCTTGGCCTTATACCTGGGTAGATCACTATTGTGAGGGACCTTCCTGATGAATGAATGCGGTGCCTATTTTTCAGATTTTCTTTTTGTTTCAATTGTTTCAATTCTTTTCTATGGTCTTCCACCAGCCCTGGAGGGCACAAAGGATCAACTTGTAAGGACTGCCCAAGTGACACTAAAAACTCACCTAGTCTGTAGTGTCAGTAGTCAAAGTATATACTCTTTCAATTTGAAAGGTCATAAGTGTCTACCTAGACCTGGATGTTAGCCAGATCCAAACTCGAGCAGTTAGGGTTCTGCTCGAGTCCTCCACTGCGCACTGTGCGCCCACTTAACTGGGGCAATGACGCAAAGGGTTTGACCAACCGAGAATGTAGAGTCACCACGAGCAGCGGAGAGATTAAATTAGCATATTTGTGGTCAATACAGAATCCTGAGAGCCTCTTTTATTTGATTCCTATTTTTAATTTCTGAATTTCCTCGGTTGTAGCAGAAATGATGCACGCGACAGCGAGTAAACCAAATCTCTGAAAGATTGTTATACTCGGGGGGCATCGTCATTGGTCAGTGCCCAACTCTTCCGCCACACTCACCCCTCGGACTCAGATTTGTGGAGGCTTCAATCTTCTGGCTTTTCAACCTACTCACCTCTATCTCTCACTCCTCCTACCCGCCTGGGCCCGTTTCTTTCTTTTGGGTTGCATATCAGCGTTTTCTTCCAGCGACTCGCCCAACCCGCGCATCTCACATTTTTATCCCACTTTAAATCCACAAGCCTAACCAGGCAAACTCGTCACCATGGCTCCCAAGAAGGCTGACCAGCCTAAGAAGAAGAAGACCACCGTCGATGATAAGGTGAGTTCTTCTCTATGGATCTACAATCCTTGTGCCGTGCGAGAAATCCTTACTGACCTTGATTCAACCTATCATTAGACCTTTGGCATGAAAAACGTACGTCGAAAATCCCGATCCGCCTCACCTCACCCCTCCCCTCCCCCGCGCAACGATAACACTCTCCCCCGCTCCAATGACGCCCACTCACACTAACCCTCCGACAGAAAAAAGGTGGTGCCGCCAAGAAACAGATTCAACAGCTGCAAGCGCAATCGGTCTCCAACAAGACACCCGATGACAAGCGGAAAGCAGCCGAGAAACTCAGACTCGCAGCCGAGAAGAAGGCGGCCGAAGATGCCAAAAGAGAGGCCGCAGATTTATTCAAGCCCATCCAGGCCCAAAAAGTGCCCTTCGGCGTCGACCCGAAGACTGTGCTGTGTGTCTTCCACAAGAAGGGTGGTTGCGAGAAAGGCCGCAAGTGCAAGTTCAGTCACGATCTGGATATCGAGCGCAAGGCTGCCAAGAAGGATCTGTATACCGATTCGCGTGATCAGGAGGAGCAGGAAGCGGAGGGAGGCAAGAAGGCCGACAAGATGGAAGATTGGGACGAGGAGAAGTTGCGCAGTGTTGTGCTCAGCAAGCACGGGAACCCCCGTACGACCACCGACAAAGTCTGCAAATACTTTATCGAGGCCGTCGAGAACCAGAAGTATGGTTGGTTCTGGACCTGTCCGAATGGAGGTGATAAGTGCATGTACAAGCACAGTTTGCCGCCTGGGTACGTGGGAATTACATCCGATAAAACATTCACATTTATACCGGGTAGACACTGACATTTCCGAACAGATTCGTTCTGAAGACTAAGGAGCAGAAGGCGGCTGAGAAAGCACTGATGGACAAGTCGCCACTCGCTACTCTCACCCTGGAGGAATTCCTCGAGTCTGAGCGTCATAGGTTGACCGGTACTCTCACGCCAGTCACCCCAGAGACATTCGCCAAGTGGAAGAAGGAACGCATCGACAAGAAAACAGCCGAGGAGAACGCCCAGAAGGCCAAGGAAGCCACAGGCCGTGCTATGTTCGAGGATGGCGGCTGGAAGGAGGAGGATGAGAGCAGCGACGAGGAGGATGAATTCGCTGATCTGGTGGAGCAGATGAAGCAAACCCAGCTAGAAAAGGAGAGGCGAGATGCGGAAGAGTTCCTCGAGCGAACTGGCCAGGAGCTTCCCCCGACAATGGACGGAGATGCGCTCGCCCAGAGGGCCGAGGCCGAGGCTGCGGCCGCGGATTGATTACCCTCGTCTTCTCACGAGACTACTATCGTGGGTCTCTAGGTTCTCTTCCCAGCTGGATCTCGGAAAATTCGACTTTTGTCAGTCCGGTCCGTTTTCTCACGGGCTCAGATCCGGGTGGCAAGTTGATCGCGCATTCGCAATCGCCTGTCTGACCTGATGCATAGATCATTGGCGTTTTATGGGCTTTGTCATGTCTCTAGATACCCGGTCAATCACTTGTTGTCCATCACGCCTTGGGAGCCAGGATGTATTCCCCCATCCTAGGAATGAGAGTGAGTGAAGGCGATGGCAACAGGAAAGACGGGATTAGACCTTCTGTTATTTGTGACCGAAGAATCAGCGAACTGACATGTTGTTATGGAGTCTTGCTTTGGGTAGCAAAAAGTCCGTTCATTTCCAGTGTTTGCATGAGTTAATACGATGATTCCCATTGTTTTTTGCAAAATTTAAAGCTATCAAAGACGTGCCCTGTCTTATTCATCTACTGTTTCCATGACCAAAAAGGTAATATCTAGTGGAAACAAATAAGTTTGCGTAACATCATGATCTTTTTGCCTGTTTCATGAACGCTTCAAGTTTAGAAGCTTTTCAAGGTTGAACATCCAAGACTCCTAGCCTTAGGAGTTGTTCACTCTCATGGGAGTATACTGTGACTATTTTCAAGTTCTTATCCATGTTTTCAGGGAACATTATTCAAGTTGGCTCGATAGGAATTTAGCATCTTCAAACATATCAGTAGCCTTATGCATGTTCTATTTGGTGATGTATTTACATGAATACCTAGGTATTTACTGCTAGTAGTATGAGAGTATATCTATAATGCTGCTCTAGCCTGGAGCAGTCCATTTTCCAGCATCAGCCCCGTTGTGTCCTCCGCAACACCCCAAGAGATCTCAAACCCCCGCCCGCCAGCCCCGTAGGCATGAACTATGTTCTTGCCATCGGCCAACTTCTCCACCTCCATCCTCACCCCACCTTGGCGAGCAGGTCGGCGTCCCACAATGTCACGAATGACGTCAAACTGGCCTCCGCCTTCCGGGATGAAGGGGAACCATTTACTTGCGTTGGCAAGAAGTCGGGCCCTGATCTCTGGGGAGGGTTTGGGATCCCATTCATGGGGTTGTTTGGTACCCCCGATGATAGTTCCCCCGTCCAGAGGGCGAGGGATACAGAAGGACCAGGAACCATCTGTATTTTGGCGGGTAATTGTTGCAGAGACGGGGTTGCGTACTAGACATGTTTGGCCTGCTCAGTGTCAATTGTTGTTCAATTAATAGAGGGCTCTAACTATATGACTTGTAGAACATACCTCTGATGATAAAAGATTCAGGGTCGTCAAAGCCCAGTCCGGAGCAGTTGACCACCGTTCTTACGTTTTGCGCGAGAGAAAAGGCCTCCTTCACGTTGGCGAGTGTATACTGCTTCGTCCGGCCACCCTTGAGGATAAGTTTGCGCAGGATATGCGCGCAGTATACTGGGGAGTTAATCACCCATGTCTCGTACTCGACACCCCATTTCACACCGACAGGCAGCTCGTCCTTTGTTAGGTGTCGGAAATCATCCATGCTGGCATATACATTGCGCAAACTCTGGGGATCAGAGTATTCGGCAGGTGGTGCTTCGAGGTGCTCGATGCCTTTAAGAAACTTGATTCCGGCGCCCGGCTCATCGGCAGCTACTCGTTTGAGGTATTTGTATGTTCGCTCTGCTTGGTTTGCTTCTCTGAGGACCTGTGGAGACGAGCCTGGGACGGGTCGATAATGTGCGCCGGCCCAAGGCGATGCGTAGTTGATCGATTCATTGGAGGGGAATTCTCTGGCTACGAGAAGCACAGACTGCGATGGAGAAAGTTGTTGCTGGATGCGGAGAGCGGTTGATAGTCCGATGACACCTGCACTAGAAAGTTCTAATGTTAGCTAGAAGGCATATCATAGGGTAGCTGTAGTCCCTGGCAGCATGGGAATGAAATGGACCTACCCGATCACGACGATAGTCTCTGGGTGAGCCATGGTAGATCATATGATTGACCCAAAAATAGATTTGGAGCAGGGTATGTAGGAACAGTACGGAGTATGGGTGGAAGAGCAATGGGATTCTCGTGAGTCACGGAATCCGGGGAAAAGATAAGAGCCCCGCCATCCCACGTCAGAGTCAGATGATACGCAGCTGATGCGACTTGAGGTGGGCCTGCAGTTCATCCAGGATGATGGGTTGGGGAAGAAACTTTGACATTGGAAATGGTTGTACTAAGTTGTTTACCTCTGTTTACATAGAATCAAGTCAAGTGTGTAGTGTATGTCCAGTATGTACATAGTGGTGGCAGATCGTTCCCTGGCTTCTCTCCACCTCTTCCTTCCTCCATTTCCAACACGTCTTAAATGGCGGTGATCACACGTCGTGCAGGCTCTGCATCAACCACTTTACCAGGCTCAGTTGTGAACTTCTGCTTATACTGTTAACAAGGGCCCAAGCTCCTATAGGAGTACAGCAAAATGTGCCTGATGTGCATAAGGAACACGGCAGGTTCCTCCAGGCACATAATCACATCACACACAGTGGAGATGAGAACTCGGAACTCCTGAACCGTTTCCAAGCAACTCTCCAGGTGAAATTAAGAGCTTAAAGAAAGAAAAAAAAGGAGTCAACTATGTATATGACTTTGCGACAACGTGATTGCTCAAATATGGACGGTGCAAAAGAAGCAAGAGACTATGGATCGGCACGACATCACCGTATGAAACACCCGAGACGGAACGGCCAGAATTCTCCGCAACGAGGTGGACTCCACCAATGTCCAGCAGTTGTTCAATGCCTTTCCAGGGCTTGACACTTGTCACGCCTGTTCTCTCCCTTTTTCAGAGAAAAGGTGAAGCGGCGCCAGTGATTGGTTACCCAGTGTGATGTAGGCGCCGAGTGATCAGCAGTCATGGGATGTGATTGGATGAGTGAGGTGATGAAGGTGCAGCTTGTCAACAACTGCACGGATCCTCGTCACATCAAGTGTCTCAGAACATTCACGGTTTCTTACATTCGTTTGGTCTCTCGAGTGCATGATTCTCGAGCCTTGAAGACAATGAATAAGGGAAACAGACAGAACACCATCCCACCTACTCCGTATGAAATCGAAACATCCCTCATTCGGGAGTTACATACCAAGGCTGGTCCTTTGCGTGCAACAACAAAGTTCGGGATCGCTTCTCCAGATGTGCAGAAAAGCAAGACTCATGCTAGACCCACTCGCCCGACGATGAAGGTTCCCGTCTGTGATTCGGGAGCCTCCTGCATTGATCTAACCCTATAACTTTTTTTGCGACCTCCCGTTCCGCTCTCTCGTTGGTGCACGCTCACAGCATCAGAGCCACGCTGCCCCAGCCACCCAAGGCTCGATCTCACCGTCTCCGCTAATGATGTGATGATGCAGTCTTCGATCCTGCACACGGGGGTTAAAGTGGATGCTCGGAGTGCTCGGTCGCTTCTCAACCCGCGCACTGTATGGTCGGTCGTGAAATGAAGCGCCTTGCCCTTCGCACCGGGCGCCAACCCCGATTGCTCCATGGCTGGAGATATGGATCGTCTGTTTGGGAAAAAAAGGAGAACTTTGCTTCTGTCCTACCAGCAGTCAGCATTTAACCCCCTGTTCATATCCTGGCTCAACGCGCAGGGAGTGGCGCCAGCTTTTTTATATCGCCTACCGATATACCAGCGCATATACTTAGGGCGAAGGGTCCCCCGGTCACTAACTCTCCACCCCGCGTCCTGTATCCTGTCACAACCTTACGCCCCTCCACGCTAATCTTTTGGGAATGTGATAAACGTGGTGCGCAAAGAAAAGAAAAAGAAAAGAAAGTTAATCCTGGTTCCTTCTTCTATCACTTCCCAACATTTACACCACCCCCGGTCTGTTCGCTGTCCGCTCTACCCCGTTCTCGCCTGGTCGCATATTACCTCGCAGCTAGCTTTTGCCTTAATAGGGCCCAGATCATCGCCACAGCTTGCCCGCTCGATTGTCCTGCAGGCACTAAAATCGCGAGGCGTTTCTCATACCAAATGCCTGGTGCTACCCTAGCCATCTCTTTCTCTTTGCCTTAAGCGGTGCCAACAGGGTCGTGACCGATTACTAACCTGCCCCTCTGGAGCTGGTCAGGTTCGTGATCTTTTTCCTTTTTCCTATCATTTCTGTCTCTTTACACTCTTGTATCCACTGGCCTTGGAGCTGCAAAAGTCGGGCAGTTAGCGCTTGCCGAGAAAGCTCGCCCTGGTAGACTCCAATTCCTGCTCCCCGCATGCTCGAAATTTGCCCATATATTAGCAAGACAATATGGTTGAATTAACATGGAATAGAAGCTTGCAGCCAGCCTCGCGACCCTCGAGAACCGTAAACGCAATGGCGCCGCAGCCAGCTCCCGAGTCTCGTTTCGAGGCCTGCGCTTCGACGGCGTCACTATTCCTCTATGCTCAAGGCTCGACAATATTATGTCTCCACCACGATACACTAGCGGTGGAACGGCGCTTTACAAGTCACCAGGAAAAGATTGATTTTATCTCGGTAGACAATGTGAGCGAACGTGGTGCAGGGAGACTGGTTGTGAGCTACGATGTCGGCCAAACGGCGATTGTATGGGATATTTTCACCGGGACGGAGATTGCGCGATTCGCTTCTTTTGAACAGTTGCGAGTTGCGTCGTGGATGCGGAATGGGAATGTCGCATTTGGTATGGGCTTTCTTTCTGCACCGGTCATATCTTCAAGTTGGATTGAATGCTGATGGCAGTGAAATGCAGGCAATGGGAAAGGCGAGGTCATTCTCTTTGAGCCTCCTACATCGGAACATATATCCGCGCGCACCATCTTCGACCCTATCACGTCTCTTGCCCCGGCTACAGATTGTCGTACATATGCGATCGGGTACGTTCAAATTTCCAGTCGACCACATGCCACTACGGGACTCACAAAATCTAATTAGCTATCAAAATGGATCAATATTGATTGCCAATCTTCTTCCCCAATTCACTATCCTACACACACTTACTACTTCGCGTGGTCCATCCCCAATCATTTCAATTGCCTGGCATGCCTCTTCATCGAAACAGAAATCAGACATGTTGGCAACGCAGGCGTCAAATGGCGACTTAAGGGTCTGGAGTGTGGCAAAGCCCCCTGGAAAAGAGTCACCCAGGGTCATTCGGGTCTTGAAACGGTCCGACTCAACTTCTGAGGATCCTAAATGGATGTCATGGTCCAAAAATGGCCGAATCGTGCAATATCTTGAGGGGTGCGTCTTATCTCTGTTTAGCAGTGGAACGATTCTATGATGTTTGAATATGCTGACTCTAGCCTTTCTTTTCATAGCGAAACATGGTCATGGGACGTTCGAACTAAGCACGTCACTTACGAGCCAATTCCCACAATAGAAGGAGTACGAGGCCTAGCAAGCTATGGCCCCACAGCTACGCTCTTCACCCTTGGTCCTCAGGACACTGTACAACAGTATGACTTGGACAATCCCGCAATGGTTGCAAACGTACAACATCTCCGGTTAAGTTCTCGAACAGGGACATCAGAAGGAAGCCGGTCACGGACAATGTCTCCTAGGCGCTTGCAAGACGCCCCAGAGATTCGGGAACGAGGGTCCGGAAGACGAACTCCATATGATACAAATGGGATCGACAGCGCGAAACAGCAAAGAGCGGACCTTGTGAGTCCTGCTTCATCAAGGAGCCGAACGGAATCTGTGAGCTCTAAAGCTTCATCTGGGAGATACAAGGTCGAGCGACCCTTTTCACCACCCACCCGATCTGCCCAGAGTGGCACTTCCTTTTCGATGACATCCATTGGTCGCGATACACCGCAGCCATCCACCAATTATCCATATGCTTCTTCTGTGTCGATGTCATCGGTGAAGAGCTCTCGTGTTGGATCTCGACTAAGAAATGAAGTACAGAGGAGTCCCGCAGAGAAGAATGTTGTCGATTTGTTTCCCTTCATTCGAGCACGGCTAAATGATGTTCCTTATAAATCACATCCGCCAATCGATGAGAACCATCTGACACCTGAAGATTTACGACAGCAGATGTTGAATGTTGTTTTTGGCTGGGAAGGAGATACTCAAGACCTTATTAGAGATGAGTGTATGTTTCCCGACCATCTCCACCGGATCATGAGTCCGGGGCTGGTCTACCTACTAACATAACCTTTTAGTGGCTCGACACGCACCAGAAAGCCAAAGTGCCGTTCTTTTGGCACAATGGCTTGGTGAAACTGATACAGATCAAATGGCTAGTATGATTAAGCCTGGGCAAGTGACTGGATTCGACTGGATGGTTCTGGCTCTGAGCCAAATGAGCCGACAAGCGCAGGCGAACAAGGTTGGACAGGCATTCGTGCAAAAGCTGCTAGAAATGGGAGACATTCACACGGCAGCATCTATCCTACTGGGCCTCGGTGACATTAACGATGCTATAGAGGTCTATGTCTCTCAAAATCATTTCATGGAAGCAATTTTGATGACCTGCCTTTTTCTACCATCGGATTGGCAACGTCAGTCATACCTTGTTCGTCGATGGGGAGAGTTTGTTGTTTCTCATTCGCAACAACAACTCGCGATTAGGTGCTTTATGTGCACTGGTGCGGAGCCTACTGAGCCTTGGACCTCTCCGGCTGCCCAACAGGCTGCTTCATTTGCAGAAGTGATCAGAGGAAAGTCACCACTTGCTTCCCCTGACCTCAATCCTCCTCATAGCGCAGGCCTCCTCGTGCCTCCTCCAGCTCGCCCAAGATCAGCTTCCAACCAACAACGTCAAGCTGGAAAAGGACCTGCTCTCAAGTTAATTACATCATTTGACCCGCAGCCGCACAACCGCTTCAAATTCCCAGGGCTGAAGTCAGATGATCGAACTCCAACAAATGCACCTGGCGTCACGCCAATCGCGGAATCGGCTGTGGCTGACTCGGCCCTATCTCCTGGAGGCTTTGGGTCTTATAAGCTCAACAATATCCAGAGTTTGAGCCA